GGCGCCCCCTGGCCGCGGGCGCGGACTGTGGCGGCGTTGCCGGCGGCCCCTCCGGAGGCTCTCACAGCCCCCAGTGCCACCGCGCACACGACATAGGGCCGCGCACGCAGCAGGGCACCCGGGGTTACTCACACCGCCGCACCCTACGCTTTCTGCTTGGCTTGGCCCCACTCGGTCACCGTCCCGCCGCAGCCCAGACAAACACCCCCTGACGCACAAAGATGACGTCTGCAGAGCGCCGAACTTCTGTTCACCCTGGCCTCGCCGCTGCCGGTAAGCGGCAATGGAATGACGGAATCGAGCCCTGTCTAGCACCCCCTGCTGGAGGGCAAGTGTCCGGCCATGCGCAAAGGGCACGTGACTCGCAGGGCCCAATGAGCATGGGGCAGGGGAGCTGAATGGGAGGATTCTTGCCCCTGGGTTAGTTCAGCCTCGGGCTGTGCGTGCGACTGTTTGGGACGCTGCCCAGTGTCTGGGGCTGGGGAGCTCCGGGCCCGCGGCTCTCTCTGTGGGCTCCCCCAGGCGTCTTCTTGGCCTTCCTACCCCAAACCCCTGGTCCAGTGGTGCTCAGGCAGGGAGCTGAGGCGCCGTGAGAGCCTTGCAAGGGCGCCTTTGGGGCTGCGTAGCGTTAGCGCTCAGAGGTGGGCAAATGCGCGTCATGAGAGAAGGGCGGAGCCATGTCCAGACAAGCGCAGGTGTGCGGGTTGTGCTGCTGCAGACCCGTGTGTGGTGCCACACCACACATGCAGGTGCTCCCCATGCTGCGGTCTTGCAGCGGGGCGGGGAGGGGGTTCTTGATCCCAGTTTGAAAAAAACAACCCATGCCACAGAAAGGGGGGGGGGCACATATGGCAGCACTGCACAGCACAGGCAACTGGAGCCTGGCTGGCTGGAGCCCCACTTCAGCTGCTGGCCAGGCTTCCTGCTGTGACTCCAGCTCTGGGTGGTCCCCAAGACCCCAGGTAAGGCTGCTGGGGCCAGTGCAGTTGCTGGCTCCAGCCTCCCCTACCCCACCTGGGGTAACCTGCCATGTGCCAGAGTGCACATAGTACAGGTGTTCCCCTGGAGCAAGTAGCAGTGACACAAAGTATGCTGCTGCTACGAGTCCCCCAGGAAACAAACATCTACACTCATTTGGATGCAGCCAGAGATTTCAAATAGAATTCTACGGTGTCAAATAGAACCCAGCAGGCCAGAATTTTTCTGTAATCTTTGCTACAGAAGAATCACTCTATTCTTTTTCTGTAGTCAAAACAGGAGTGAAAGCTGAGAGCTGGCACTTTCTGAGGAGTGTCTGGCCTCTAAGAAAGTTGAGAACCACTTCTCTGGGTCCTTCTCATGCCCCAGTTGCATTTTATGTTGAACTGGACCACAAGGAGGCAGTGGTTTTGGTGGAGAGTCAGGAAATGGGACCGGGAAAGCCAAGGCTTTGGATCTTCCAGCCTTTCAACGTGTTACTCATTTAAGCTTGGATTCTTTTGTCTTCAAAAACTTTTGGCCTTTGTGTTGTGTTCAGGTAACTTGAGAAGTAAAGCAGTTTCTCAGTCTCTGAACTATCCAGCTGTCTTGCCTGGAAATCTATTCTTTGCCTTTCAGATAGTGCAGCTGAGGTAGAAGCTTTCAATGAAAGTAATTGAAGCACGTCTGTTCTGATAAAGGTCAAATAATGAAAGAAAAAAAAAAAAAGACTGCACAACTTGAAAGGCTCCAAACATTATTTCCAGTCCTCTTATCAGTAAAGCAATAACAGATCCTCGGGGCAGCATGAATCTGAATTCATATCACTGCGGATATTAAAGATGATATCAGAATATATCGTACCACAATTTTAGTTGAAACTCTGTTGCTTGTCTTATTTGGCAGATACTTGCCTTTATTAAAGCAATAAAGAAAGGGACTATACATGTGGTAGGTGATGTTTTAGACCCTTTGCTTCTTCCCTTTAACTCCTTGCTGCAATAGAAAGCTGCCTTAGTTTCATGGTTAGAATAACATCATAGAAAGTAGCGATGACTGTAAAAGCTTGGCCGGACCTACATGTGAAATTTAAATTACTAAATTAAAATAACAGTGTGCCCAGCCATGCCCAGTGAGGGCTGCAAGGACTCAAACCACTTCCTGCCTGCATTTCTGAGAGTGACTATTGCAGCTAACATATACTAGGACTTTTGTGATAGCTCACTTACTGAATATTGGGAAGGAGGCTTTTTCTGTCATTTAGTTTTATAGCTCGTTTGTGATATAGTTATTAAAGCCTTTCTGTCATTAATGGAATGAGGTGTACTGTCAATCCTTAACTACACTAGGTTTGAATCCTGCTTTTGATTGCAACAGTAGAGCTGGAAAAATCTCTTTGGATCCACTGCTCTTTTTCTCTGCCATTATAGAATTGTTACCTTCCGTATGCTATGCACTGTCTAGTCTAGTCTAATTTTAAAGGTTGTAAGAAAGAAGGCCTGGAATATCTCTTAGAAGGCTGTTCCACAGTTTGGCTGACTTCACTAGTAGGAAGTTTTTCCTGCTACTCAGATTAAATTGTCTTTCACTTTCCTTGTTGCTCTGAGAGGTAGACAGGGTAACACTTATGCCAGTGTGTAAGATGAGGGTAACAAATTGTAGCTGCAGTGTACAGTTGTAGCAAATTCTGTCACACCTTTAGCTATGTTTCATTCAGGCAGCAGAGTGATATATCAATTAGATTGTAACAACTGATGCAGACCCCTGAGGGGAAACTCCCAACTCCCAGTCCCACTCCCTTTTTAAACTGGTTGAAAGTTACATTTGCCCATAGCACTAGTTCAGGGATTGGCAGTGTTTTTCACTGGAGTGCCTAAAACACCCCAACCTCAACCCAGGCCTTGACTTGGCATGCCAGGTGCAGATGAGGGAAGGGGGAGAGGGAAGCTGTGAGGGGTGCAATCTTAGGGGCTGGGGTAATGCTGCCCTGGCCCTTTCCCCGCTGTGCTCCCCAAGATTCATGTGCAGCTGCTGCTGACCATAGAGGCTAGGTTCACAGCAGGCAGCAGACAGGTTGCAAACAGCTACACCAGGTTCCAGAGCCCTGGCCCCATTCCATTGGCAACATGTAGGGGGTGCACGCAGGTGCATGTGCACCCCCTGAGTTTGGCGGTGCACCCCCAGAGATTGGCCGCTGCTGGCAGTGCCTGTAGACGGTTGCCGCTCACAACCCCTCCCTCACTGCCGACACCACTGTGGCTGCCTGCGGGAGCTCCCTGCTCACCGCCACCAGCACCGCCACCCCATAGCCAGTGGCAGCTGCATTTGTGCCTCAGTACATGGAGCAGGGAAGGGGCTGAGGCAATGCAACCCCAGCCCCTCCCCTGCCAGCAATGCGCCAGCAGACCGCAGTGCAGCAGCTTGCAGCCTCCCAGTCATGTGCCATAGCAGCGTGGGCTCTGGGCAGGTCCCTTCTACCCTCCATGGAACCTGGGCTGCTCTCAGCAGGTGGCAGGGAGGCTGCAAACAGCTGCACCAAGGTCAGCTGAGCCCTGGTTGGACTTGTTGCTGGTGGCAGGTGCATGCGTATCTCTGGGTGGACAGCAGGGGAGGGCCCAGGATTGCACTGCCCTGGCTTCTTCCCTGTCATGTGCCCTTAGGTATCTCTGCAGCTGCTGCCAGTGCTGGGGCTCTGTAGCCTGGTGCAGCTGTTTGCAACTTTTTGGCTGCCTGCCACATCCTGCCAGGGCTCTGGACAGTTGCTACCTGCCAAGGAGCCCAGGCTGCTTGCAGCAGGGCATGCAGCCTCCTGGCTGCCTGCTGCGAGCAGCCTAGGCTCTGTGGCCAGAAGCACCTGCCCAGAGCCTTGGCCGGATGTGGCGTGCCAAGCAAAATGGCTTTGTGTGCCATGCTCTGGCATGTGTGCCAGGAGTTGCCGATCCCTGCACTAGTTATACATCTGTGTCTTAAATATTTCTCCAACCTTGGTCTTGACTCACTTTAACTATTTGTAGAGTTACTGGGTGCATCTAATGATAATGGCATCCATTTATGAGTGAGTGATGGTGGATATTGCAGCTGTTCTACTGGCTGATGGTACAGTGGTCTCAGGTGTACATGGCGTTAGGGGCTAGTGTATAAATAGGGTGCTTCTACACATGCGATTTCATAGACTTCATAGACATTAGGGCTGGAAGGGACCTCGGAAGATCATCAAGTCCAGCCCCCTGCCCGAAGGGCAGGAAGTCAGCTGGGGTCATAGGATCCCAGCAAGATAAGCATCCAATTTACTCTTGCAGGTGTTCAATGTAGGTGCTTGAGCCACCTCTGATGGCAGGCTGTTCCAGACCTTGGGGGCTCAGACAGTAAAGAAATTCTTCCTTACGTCCAGCCTGAAACAGTCTTGCAGTAGTTTATAACTGTTCGACCTCATCATCCCTTGGGGTGCTCTGGTGAACAAACGTTCCCCCAGATACTGGTGGTCACCCCTGATAAACTTATAGGTGGCCATCAGATCACCCCTGAGCCTGCGCTTTTCCAGGCTAA